AGTTTCACTTAGCAGCCATAGGAATTTTTGACATCCATTGAATGAATTACTGTTGCGAAGATTATATGATAATTTTGTAATTTCATTATTCCTTCTACTATTTTTTAGTTGGGGTTCTATTATATGGAAATGCTTTTCTTCTCTTTAGTGTATTGTTATGATTTATATCAGTAAGGCCTCCCCAGATTTTTATTCAGTAATTACTATTACAGTTTTGAGTCTCAGATTGTTCCCAGTCTGGCCAATGGCATCCCTTTAAGCTGACTGCCATGTACTTTGTCACAGATCCTTTTTTCTTTGAGCATTTCTTTATTTTCTGATATAGCAAGATATCTAGACTCTTACTGTACTTGCTGAGCTTTAGCACTGGAATCAGCCATTTCTCCAATGACCCATTTCAATTTTTAATTGGAAAATGGGTATTTAGAAATTAAGATCTGCGTGTTAGGTATGTTCAAGCTATTGGGGTGTTAACTTGTTCCAAAGTTCTCCTTGTGGGCAGAGCTAAGGAATATGTGTATGTATACATACACACATACACATTTATGTCTGTATTTATTTTGTATTTATCTATGTATGTTGAAAACTATGTCTTGAGACTAGCAAATGGTGTAATGGTTATGTCACTGGACTCCCACATGGTTGACCGTGGTTTGAGTCCTGTAACCAGCGGCTTGAAACTCACCAGGCATGTGTGCGTGCATGCCCAACCTCCTAAGAAGAAAATAAAAGAGAGGAGAGGGGATTGTGGTGTGACCGTCCCCCCTGGGGAGTGGTTTCTCATTTTGTGTGCCTCTGTCTGTCTCTGTCTGTCTGGCAAACATATGCACCCTATAGCAAAAATCTCTCTCAAGGAAGCAAAGGAAGGAAGGAAAGAAGAAAGAAAACTAAGTCTTTATTTTACTGTTTTACCCATTTGGACACCCTTCTCATCCTGCTCAGGGTTCCAGCACCCTGCTGCACCCTGCTGTCCCCTCTATCACTGTGCACAGACGATTTCCTCTCTGTGCTTAGGCTTCAACAGCGTGCACTTTTCTGTTCCAGAAGTCATTGTTTGCATGATGGTTATGATGATATTCTACCATATATTATCTTCCGGAAGATTTATTTTATACACTTCTCTCACTTACGTCAGCAAACCATCTGGAACTGATTTTATAGATGGTTTAAGGTAGGGATCAGTATTAATTTGATTTTCCAAATGTATATCCACTTGATTTAGTAACAGTTTCCAAAATCATCCCTTTCTCACACTTTATCATAAATCAGGAGCCAGATCTCATGGGGTATTAAACATTTTTTAAAAGGCCATGTAAGTATATCAATGAAAATTGATTACCATGTAAGTTATTAATTTTAAGCTCATACTAAGGAATTGATAATTTTTTCATAGGAACAATATGTAAAAGATGATTGGGGCTCTAAGCCAAACCCACAATGTCTTTATGCATAATGTATTTTTTTATGGTGGTAAAATATACTTTACATAGCATTTACCATTTTAACCATTTATAAATAGTGTCAGATACTTTCACAGTGTTATGCACATGTCCTCACTCCACATCTCCAGAATTTTTTATCATCCCATACTAGGAACTGGTTTGGCTTGGGAACACTAAAAATAAAGAAAGACAAGTTCCAGTTAAAATATCTTTCTACAGGAAATAAGAAAGCCAGATAATAGGAGGCCAGCAGTTCTTTTAATTCTTCACAGTTTATAGACAGTCTACCTCAGCTAAACCTCAGTCTGAAATACATTTTCAGTTTATTTTCTAGACAATGTCATGGTAGAAAATTGCAGTAATACTCTTTCTCTTAATGTTATTGCACTGTAGATCTCCCGTCCCTCATTCTGCATTTATGACACTGCTATGTAAGTATTAGTTATCAACAATTGGAAAAGTGGAATTCAAAATAAAGATGCATGGGAAAAGACCACTCACAATCCTTCCCCTGGAGTTTAACTCGTCAAACATTTCTTCCCATTTTTTAACACAAGTTTTACTTTCCCATTTTTATTTCATGTTATATCATAAACAATATCCTGTATAACTATTTTTTTTTGGAGAGGTTTTTGCTATAGGGCACATGCACTTGCCAGAAAGAGAGATACAGAGAGACAGAAAGTGAGAAATCACCCCCACTCCCCCAGGGGGATGGCCACGCTGCAATCCCTTCTCCTCTCAGGATCTTCGGCACACACGCACACACACCCAGCATGAATTTAAGCCACCAGATCTGGGACTTGAACAGCGGTCGACTACATGGGAGTCCAACAATATAGCCATTATGCCAGCTGCTGGTTCCTGTCCTGTATAACTTATAAACCATTCTTACAGATCATTTTTTATTACTTAATTTTATATAATTATTATTATTTTCTTAACTGTCCTGACATTGGTGGATATTTAAGATAATCCACTATTTCCCAAATATGTATAATACCTTAAGAGTATTAAAGCATATGTTTTTAAAATTATTCCTTTAGGGTAGATTTCCAGAATTGATAAGTCAAAGAATAGACTTCTTTAAAATATTTATTTATTTAATTATTTATTTATAAGAGATTTTTGCTATAGGGCATGTGCACTTACCAGGGAGAAAGAGACAGAGAGACAGAGAGAAATCACCCACCAGGGATGGTCACACCACAATCATTTCTCCTCCATTCTCCTCTTCAGATCTTGGGCAAGCATGCACAGATGCCTGGCCTAAGTTTCAAGCCACTGGGTCTGGGACTCAAACTGTGTTCAACCCTGTGGAATTCAGTTATGTAACCATTATACATCTGCTAGTCCCATATTTCCTAAAGATTGTGAGTTTACATATCCAACAGCAGTATGAGAGGACCTGTTTCAATGCTTTTAAATTTGTTTTGGATTTTTTTTGTTGTTCTTATTGTGTTAATATATATATATATAATAAAACTTACCATTTAAGTAAAATAATATAATATCTGTCCTTTCGTGTCTGGCCAAGTTCATTTAGCACACCTTTTTCAAGGTTCATCCATATTCTAGCATGTGTCAGAATTTAATTCCTTTTAAAGGCCAAATGGTATCCATTGTGTGCATATACTATATTTTGTATATTTAATTTGCCTTTTGAAAGACCCTTGGTCTGTTTCTACCTTTTGACTGTTGTGAATAATGCTACATTGAACATGGGCATACAAGTGTCCGAGTCCTTGTTTTCTGTTCTTTTGGGTATTTACCTAGTATGGTAATTCCGTGACTGGGTTTTTGAGGAACTACCCAGCAGTGTAGAAGGGTTCCAGTTTTCCCACATCCTTGCCATGACTTACTGTTTTGTTATTTTTTTTTTATTATTATTATAGCCTTTTTACCAGGTGTGAACTGGGATGTTCTTACAGCCTCTATTTGCATTTCTCTAATGGTTAATGATGTTAGGAATCTTTTTGTGTGCTTATTGGCCACTTAAGTCTTCTTGCAGAAATGTCTATTCAAGTCTTTAATTCATTTTTACATTGGGTTGTCTTTTTGTTAAGTGGTAGGAGTTCTTTCTGTATTCTAGATACTTAACCTTACCAGATACATGATTTGCGTACATTTTCTCCCATTCTATAGGTTGTCTTTACACATTGTTTTAAAATTTTTTCTTTTCCTTTTTGGTTTTTGCTATAGAGTACATATGTTCATGACAAAAAAAGAGGGAGAAAGCAACGTGAGAAATCACCCCTTGGAGAGATGGCCAGACCAAGTCCTTTCTCTCTGATCTCCTCTTGGGATTTGGGGCACATATGTGCATTGCCCCAGTGTGTTTTTCATGCTACACCAGGTCCAGGCCTCAAACAGCACAGTTGGTCACATGAGATCCAGCTGCCTTACAGCCTACACTGTCTTGATTGTGCCATTTCGTTCACAGAAAGTTTTAATTCTGACGAAATCTAATTGATTTAATTTTCTTTTTGTCATTTTTGATGACATATCTAAGAATTCATTGCCAAATTTGAGATTATGAAGATTTATCCCTGTGTTTTCTTCTAAGAGTTTTATAGTGTTATATCTTAACATTTAGGTTGTTGATCCACTTTGGGTTGATTTTTACATGTGTTAAGAGGTACAGGTGCAACTTTGTTCTTTTGTATGTCCAGTTGTTGCAGCATCATTACTGAAGGAAGTCCATAAGTTTTAATAAATCTTGGTTGATTAATAAGAAAAAAAAAAACCTCATCATTGTAGTTGTATTTTATATTTTTTGTAAAGATAAGCATAATTTCAAGTTTAGCAATTTGTTCTTACCATTTTGAGTGTCTGGTAATGCACACTCTTCTCTTAATCTACTTGATTTTAGTATTGTTTTTTAACATATATAAGACTGTTCCAGCTACATCTTTTAAAAATAATTTAATCAAGCCAAATAACTATATTAATTAAACATAGAGACCAGAACCTCTTAGTTTAAATGGCATCACTACGGTTCTCCCTCTTTTTTTTAACATTTTCACTAGAATATGTCCTCCACGTAATAGACCATAATGTTAGTTGAATTAATGACTGTACAGGAAGATTTAGGCAGGCTATTACTGTTCTTAATAGTAAAAGTTAATAGCACAGATTATTTTAAATTATATAAATTTAATTTTGAAGTGCTTTGAATCTTCTGTGGATTTATAAATAGCCCTCATTTTCTGACCGATAGTTTAATAAAATTTCATTTAGTTCTTGGAATGCAAAGAAACCAGAAAAATATTTTATAGTCTTATCTATGAAGTAACTGTCTTATCTCCTAGTGAGAAGGAATTTCGTTAGTGACTACCATTCATTATTTTTATTTAAACATCTATAGAATTTATGGTCATTAAAATTTTAGGTGATATAATTATTTCTAAAATAATTTTATGAAGATCATTTTTATTATTTAAATATGTCTTAGTTATTTTTGATAACTATAATTTATTTTTATGACACAACTTTCTTTTATGCGTTTTGTTTTTGTTTTGGTGTTTTTCCTGATTTCTTGTCATTGATGATTTTTAGCCAACAGAAGCTGTTCCTCCCTCTTCTCCCACTGTCCCTGTGGTCCCTGTCCTGCCTGTCCCTGCTGAGAATACTGTCATCCTACCCACCATACCACAGGTTTTTACTAGTTTCTTTTTATTTATAAAATTTTCATTTGCTTTTAATGTTTTATTTATGTTCTTTTAAAACTGTTTTAACTATTTTTTGTTAGATTTAATCATTTACTTTGGGTTTCAGTTGGTGCTTTTAGGTAATTAACTATTTGTGATTTAATATCAGATACAATATTTGTCATTTTCATTAGGTTGTCAGTGAAGTAGGACACATTCTGTACTTATCTTCGTAATATTGAACCTCCTTGGATTTGTTATAATGCATACTTGCGTGTCTATTTAAAACAATTTTTAAATATTGGCTTTAGAAATTTCTGTTTGTTTTATAAAGATATTAAAAATAATCATACTCCTGATTTTCTATTAGATGTATCATTTTATGTAGCACCTTGTTTCCCAGCGTATATATTTAGCATCTTTGGAAATACTCATCCTTCTGTCATTTAATTAGGAAACATACCTCACATTGATTATTTATAAGTAATAGCTGATGTATCTGGAGTATATGGATATCTTTTGTGCTATATATTCACAACTTTTCTGTAAACCTAAAACTATTCTAAAATTAAGTTTAATTTGTAAAAAGTTGTATATAAACAATACATTCAGTTGACACAAAAATGAAAAGTTATTTGATGATAATATATATGGTAATGTCTTTGTCTTAACTGATATGCACTGTGTTCATGCTGGAAAAAAACATGTTGTACACTATAATAATGTATAAATGATTAAATGTAAATAATATATAGATAGATATAAAAAAGTTGTGATTTTGATCACCTTTAGATTTTAGTTTTCCGAGGTATAGTATGCTGGCTTATTGACAAATTAATTGCCCTTAAAGCAATTATCTGAAGTCAAAATAATGGTAGCTTTATTGAGTTTAGTAATAATCTTCTGTATGAAAGGTATCAATATCATTTAAAGTGTAAATCAGTGTGTACATCGGTATTTTGCTGTTACTGATCTGTAACATAAAATTTAGGTAAACATATGTTTGCTGTGTAAATACAGTTTTAAAATAAGCCTGACTGGTGGAAAAATAGATAACAATTACACATATATCAGCACTTTTCCCTTTCCTAAAAAGTAAAAAATTGGTAGGAATATCAAAAAAATAAAATTCTACAAGAAATTTCTAAAAGACAGAATTGTAATAATTGTTATATTACTGCTTTTACAACATGAAACATTTCACTTGTGAAAATTACTAAAAATTAAGTGATTTTAAAATCACCAAGAATTGAATAGCTTAATATCCAGACGGGTATTATCTTTATATTACAGAGAAGAAATTGAATTTATAAATAAAACTTAATTGAGTAAGCAGCCTAAGAGTCATTGTAGCATTGTAATAATATGTCTCCAAGTATCTAGGGTTTAGTAACATGTCTTTTAGAAGTAGAAGATTTGAAAGTTTATTTTACTTTTGTCACTTTCATTTCACTTTTTGATGTTAAAATACACTTCTAGAATCCTTTGAAAATTTGCTCCAGTCTCTGGTTCTTACATCTAATTGGATTTTGGGTCCACACACATAGGCACCTGGCATGTCTTTCAAGCTGCCTGATCTGGGACTGTTGAAAATGTTTTTATAGCTAAATTTTTTGTGTCATATTCACATATGTATTTTGGAATAGAATAGTTTTCATTCCATTTTTTGTGATTATACCAGTCATTTAGATACTAAGATGAAAATAGTAGTATTCCTCTCCTTTAGGAGCCTACTATTTGTGTAAGAAATTAAGAAAAAACTCCCACATGACAAATCATTAGTTGTGTGCCCAGAGCAGAGCATCCCGTTACCTTTAAACCTTTCAAATTTCACAAAATACTTGGATGTTAGGTTTTAAATAAATAGATTATTAGTATAATCTAAAGCATGACTTTCTTTTTATTTGATTGGTAATGTTAAATATAGTAGCATAATTGGATTATTTGGATTAACCTTTATTAATCATACACTCACATCTGACTGCAGTGCCCTTATTCTGTTTGCTCTTTGGATGTTTTTTGCAAATCATTTTTGACTTTCAGAAAGTCATAAGAATAATACAAAGAAGATTCATACTTTTACCCAGACTATTAAGATGCTGATTTTAATAACCACATCTACTTTATCATTTCTCTTCCTACATATTTGTATTATTAACTTTTTGAAAAGTTTCGAAGTTGCAGACTCATGCCCCTCTACCTGCAAATACTAATACTTTTTAGTACTAAGTACTCTAAGAACAAGAATATTAATCACAGTACAAGAGGCTAAATTGGCAATTAATATAATACTTTTATGTAAATTACAGGCTTTAATTATATTTTGCCTATTGCTCCGATAATGTTCTTTATGGCGGGGGGAAGCACCCTTTGGCTAGTCTAAGATCATACATTGCATTTAATTTTCATGACGCTGTAGTCTCCTTAAATTGTCCCCTTTAATAGAGCCAAAATCTATGTTCTATCACGATTGTGGCAAAGAGAACAGGCTATTTATTATGTATCAATAGAATTTCCTTGAAATTAGGTATTTGATGCATTTTCATAGTAAGGTTGAGGTCACATTTTTTTTATCAACTTTTTATTGTGGTAAAATTTATATAACAGAATTTACTATCGACCATTTTTAAATTTACAGTTCAATCATAGTATCTTCACATTGCAGTGCAGCCATCACCATGACCTGGCTCTAGCATCTTGCTCAACTTAACCTCTATATCCATTAAACAAGAACTCCCCATTGATCCTTACCCCCCACTCCTGTCATTCACTGTTCTCTGATTTAAGTCTGTCTGATTTTAACTACTTTATAAGTACTTCATATTAGTATTTGCCTCTTTGTGGCTGGTTTATTTCATTGTCATTGTGTTTTCATGTTTCATCCTTGTAGCATAGTCCAGAAGTTCTATCCTTTTGAAAGCTGAATTATATTCCACTCTGCACGAACAATGGCTATTTCTATATCCATTCATCTGTCAGTGAACACTTGGATTGCTCCACATTTTAGGTATTGAAAATAATGCTGGTATGAACAGAGGTGTAAAAATATCTCTTTGGAATACTGCTTTCAATTCTTTGGTATTTGCACTCAGAAGTAAAACTGCTTGATCATATAATTATATTTTAAGTTTTTTAAAGAACTGCCATACTGTTTTCTAGAGGAGCTATACCATTTTACAGTCCTACCAACATTGCACAAAGCTTCCAATCTTCAACACTTGTTATTTTGTGTTTTGCTTTGTTTTGTTTTGAGAGGTTTTTGCTGTAGGGCACGTGTGCTCGCCAGACAGACAGACAGAGACAGAGAGATAGAAAGCGAGAAATCACCCCCCATGGGGGATGGCCACACCACAATCCCTTCTCCTCCATTCTCCTCTCGGGATCTTGGGCACGCATGCACACGCGCCCAGTGTGAGTTTAAGTCACTGAGTCCGGGACTCGAACCGCGGTTGACTACATGGGATTCCAGCGACATAGCCATTACGCTTACTGCTGGTCCCGTGTTTTCTTTTAAATAGCCACCCTTATAGGTATGAGGCGGCAGCTCATCAGTATGTATTTGTGTAGTAATTAGTAATGTCAAGCATCTGTTTATAGGCTTATTGACCATTTGTATATCTTCTTTAGAGAAATGCTTCTATGAGTTATTCACCAATTTCAGAATCAGTTTTTTGGGAAAGTTGTTGGTTATGGAATTTTAAGTGTAGTTCTCTGTATCATCTCCTATCAAAGAGATTATCTGAAAATACTTTCTTTGGTCTTCCTTCTATTATGTTGGTAGTGTCTTTTGATACACAAATTTTTTAAATATTCAGGACGTTTTGTCTGTGTCTTTGTGTCATGTTCAAGAATTCATTGCCAAATTCAGTGTCTTTGAACCATTTACCCTGTTTTTTTGTTTGTTTGTTTTTGTTTTTTGTTTTTTTGTTTTGTTTTAAGAGTGCTTTCTGTTTATTTGTTTGGGGTTTTTTTTTTTTTTTTTTTTTTTTGAGAGATTTTTGCTCTATAGCATGTGTACTTGTCAGAGAGACAAAAAGTGAGAAATCACCCTCTAGGGGGGATGCCCACACCACAGTTTTCTTTTCTTCCATTTTCCTCTCAGGATTTTGGGCATGCACACGTACATCTGGCATGAGTTTCAAGCTGCTGGATCTAAAACTTGAACTGTGGTTGACTGTGTGGGAGTCCAGCGACATAACCATTACACTATCTGCTGGTCCCCTTTTCTAAAAATTTTATGTATAACATTTAAGTAATAGATCCATTTTAATTTATTTCTGGACTCTATACATTAGTTATATGTCTGTCTTTATGCCAGTACCATGCTATTTTTATTCATGTAATTTTGTAAATTTTTGAGATCAGTAAACGAAATGCTCCAGCTTTATTATTTTTCTTCAGGATTACTTTGAGGTTCTTAATGCTCAGGATTCCATAAGATTTCATATGAATTTTAGGATGGGTTTTTTTATTTTTTAAAATCCATCATTGGGAGTTTTATAGGAATTGCATTAAATCTGTTGATTGCTTTGGGTAGTATTAACATTTTGATAATATTAAGTCTTATAATCTATGAACCCAGATGTCTTTACATTTATTTATGACTTAATTTCTTTTTTCTTATTTTATTTTATTTATTGTTATTATTTTGTTTTTTAAATTTACTATAGGGCATGTGAACTCACCAGAGAGAGACAGACAGACCCTGGAATGCAAGGAGGGTGGAAATTTAAAGTATAAAAGCAAGCCACCACATTTGGGACTCGAACCGTAGGCTATCATGCGGGAGTCCAGTGCCCCAACAACCACACCATCTGCTTGGTTCTATTATGTCTTAATTTCTTTCTTTCTTTTCTTTTTTTGATGGGGGAAATAATTATTTATTTAATTCTGCTTGGTTTTTTTTAATTAATATTTTTAATTATTTTTAATTTTTAATTTTCTCAGAGAGGGAGGGAAAGGGAAAGCGAGAGAGCAAGCCGCCAAGTCCAGGACTTGAATCACAGT